ATAGAAGTTGGTGAAATTTGTGGTTGAAAAGTTGCGGATCCCATGAAACGTGTGGTTAAAATTAATTGTTGACTTTGACTTGATATTTTAATTCAAACCAAACAAGGGCTAATTAATTTTTCGTGTGTATTTGGTGTAGTGCTCGATATGTACCATTTTCAACTCGATATGAGCTTGTCCCTAGAGGAAGTGTTGAATCCCATTTGCATTGTCAGTATTTGGTAGGATGGTTACATAGTCATATACTTAAAGCATGTAAGTGGTACTGGAAGGTATGGACATTACCATAAATAGAGATTATAATTATTTTTTTATTTAATATTGTTGGGTCCAGTGTACCAAACATGCATTTGTAGATTACACGTTTCAATCTATAAATTTTTAATTTACTAATGTCGCTTGGATCCTTTTGCTTTTCTCTGGTGCTAGTAGGAGTCGATAAATAGGTTTTTCCTCTCGATTGGCCTATTCGCATGAGGACTCGAACCATCATCAAGTCAAGCAACGTATTTTCAGAACATGACTTTACACCTAAAGTTTTAGATTTTGGGTTGGCTAGGATGGCGATGGAAGAGGGAAACAAACACGCCTCAACCCATGTCATGGGAACCTTTGGGTATAAAAGTTGTCCATTATGATAAAACAAAATTGTGCCACTCCCATCTTATATGTTTTTCGTATAATGGAAAATGGTTTCTCCATTTTTAATTTAATTCTTGTCGGAAAACTTTACTTCTCACAATTACTTAGCTCCATAATACGCGATTACTGGCTGATATTACCAAAATCGTCACATGTTGATTGACGATTGAGGATGATCACAAGCAAAATCTCCGGTACATAAAACAAAGACGTTGGGGGTGTGTCCTTGTTACCTCTCCAATGCTTAAATTAGCGAAATGGGGAAATATAAGCATAAGGCTATAAATTGAATGTAAAAACATATACCTGAATAATGAATTAGAATTTATATTTATAGAGGTAAATAACACACTCTTGATATGATTAAGATACTTGAAGCCTTTATCCGTTAAGAGATGTAAAAGACTTGAGTATTTCAATATGAGTATGAGTGGTAAGTTAGTTAGAATCCAATGTCATCGGAGTTGGATAAGTTTGAAAATAAAAGTAGATTCCAACTAGAGCAGGTCTTTTGAGATAAGAAGAGGAAAAATGTAAAAACCCGAGGTGACGTGGAATTGATTGTCATGTACGACAATTAAGTCCGATGAGGGAACCTGAGGTGGACACCATGGGAAAACCCCTAAGATGACCAAAAACAACCTCGGGCATTGTTGTTCGGGATTGATCAAAAAATTAATGACCATATCACCGGCCGTCTATTGGTTAAAAGCGACAATTACAGCTATGGCGTGGTTCTTCTTGACCTCCTAACTGGGACGAAAGCCCGTGGATTTGTAATAGCCACTGGGCCAAGAAAATCTTGTTGCTTGGGCTCGTCCACTCCTCGATATCAAGGAAGGTTTGGAAATGATCATCGATCCAGCTTCAAGATCGAATGTTCCCTCAGACAGCATTTCCAAAGGTGCAGCATTCGCATCAATGTGTGTGTGCAACCGGAGGTATCTCATCAAAGCTGCAGCTAAGAGGATTTCTCTATTGATAAAGAAAGTAAGCACAGTAGAATATCAAATGAATCCACAGAAAATCAAGAGACGAGTTACCCATTTCCCGGACGGGATTCATTTTTTGTTACAAAGATAGCGTTATCGGTTATCAGCAGTTGATTTTAAAAGGCGCATCAGGCGGACGTGAAGGACATGAATCTGAGTCTTTTAGAAGGCAATTCAATTTAGATCCTTTGAAGAAATCTTGGTACTGGCTACTGATATTCAAACAAAATACCTTTTGAAACATATTAAAACTCAGAAAATTGGACGTCTGTTAGTGACACATCCTTAGTGTTTGTGTACAAGTTATAGAGTGAGCCAGAAATGCGCATGGTGGATGAATAAGGATGTTATTATAGATAGAGAAATATTTGGTACACAACATTTGACACTAGAGTAGAGTTTCCACCGTGATCTAATTCTGTATACCAAACATCCTATACCAGTAATACTAAAGTTGACGCAGCTGAATGGAAATTACTGATTTCCCACTTTATAAATGGCAAGAATACCTCTACATATAATTGTTAGATCCTTTAATAAAAACAAGCCGATCATGTTTTAATCTCCGATGAATGCTGGATTGTTTTCTCCAGCTGCTCGGCCTAATCTCTCTCTTAATATCTTCACTCCCATGTACCTGCATTTAAGCATGTCAATCAAAAACGTCGCTTTTTATAATTATATCTGTTTATTCTCTTTGTAATTCGTGGACATAAAAGCAATGCAAAAATTCATATTCTTTCAGTATTGTGTGTCAACTACGTTCAGTTCATATTTCTTAACACAAGAAAGGGTATTGGGATCACACCTGCCCAGCATCATCACAGTGGCTTGAGGGTTTGTCCCTGGAGAATCAGCGAACGTTGAACCATCAACAACACGGAGTCTTTCAACTCCAAGAACCTCGTAGTCACGGCTCACCACCTTATCCGTATGGCAGCCCCCATGGTAGTGCCAAATTGTGATAACAGTGTCTTTACAGAACTGCTCCAAGGATTTTGTGTCATTAATATGCTTGGGTATAAGATTAACGTTAGCATGAACGCTCATGTTCAACAGCTTCTCGACTGTTTTCTTGTCACATTGTGTGAAATTGGTGAAATGTTTCGACCTCAAAATCTTCTCCATAACACGTATACCGTCCACACATCGTTGTAAATCGTATGGATGGCTGAAGTAGTTGAAAGTAATTAAAGGGTTATCATCAACATTTGTGTTGAGAAGTCTAAGTTGGCCTTTTGATAGGGGATTGGCAATCTTTTCTAGAATGAAACCTCCCATAAATGCTTCACGTGGAAGGTTTTTCTTTATTCTCCTGTAGGATTGAATTGCTTCATATGTTCTTTGCTTTGGAGGAATGGTAGACAGCTGCCCTATCTGTTTACAAAACAATTTTTGTTAAAGGTTACACACTAATCCCTACTCTCGAGGGAAATAATCAGAAAAGTTTGTTTAGATGGCCTCAAATCTATCGAGAACAAGACTTATTTTGCTATATTATGAGTTATAATGAATTTGTAAGTATCGTTTTATAGTCAAGAATCTCTGGAAACTGACATGTTACTAACCTCAGCTGAAACAATTCCATGGTCCCAATGAATGCTGTCTGAGGACTGACCAAATCCACTGCTTGCTTCAATATACACTCCCAACTTGGTAATCCCTACAGTTTGAATCAAAGATTGCTGGACAGGCGTATTAGTGGGAACAAAGATAGTGTTCATGGGATTATCAGACATGCCCTTCCCAACAAACTCATTGTCAAGAACCACAGGTATGTTAAACTTTTCAAGGTCCGTCTTCGGGCCGATGCCACTATGTAGCAGCAGCTGAGGGCTCCCAATTGCTCCAGACGACACGATAACTTCACTCCTCGGCCCCATTGAAATTAATGCTTCGTGTTGCTTCCCATTTTCATCTTTGAAGATAACCCCAACTGCCCTTGGTGTTTTACCTACAATTGTATGACATTGTCAGTAAAGGCATGGTTGATACAAAGTACTCAACAACATTGTTGCTCGGGGTTGTCCAGTCCATACATGTCCTATTTTAAACAAGTTTGTATCTGCACTTCAATTTACCTGTTGTATCAAAAACAATTTTCAGAACTGTTGCATGTACTAAAACATGTAGCTTTCCAGGATTTGCTGAGGCAAGAAGCTCCGCCGCAGTGTGGCGGCGGCCGAACCTGTCAAAAATAGTCCCACCAACTTTGGTTCCATATTTGTGATCATAGGTAAATCCATTGAAAGGTGAGATTCCAATTTCTAAAAGACTGTCCCTTATTGCTCTCTGCCATGGCATAAGGTCTGGTCTATGAACAATTTGTTTCTCAATCCAAGAGTAGGACTCCTGCACCAGTTTTGAATCCCATCCTACACTTCTAATGAAACTGCAAGTCACAAATTTCCAGCATTAATAATAATACACGCTATAGCTGTTATAAAAGGAACAAATTCAACAAACTTGCCTTCACATTCAAATTTTTGTACTAGAGGTCTCGTATTTGTACAATGTTCTTAAATGGTTCCGTTTTACGTGGCTTTTGAGAAATTAAAATGAACTTTTGAATTTCAAAAACGGCATATAAATTCATTTGATTAATTTTATGAAAGTACTTCTTTTTAATTAGCTTTTTCAAAATAGAAAGATCTTATAAAAAGTAGTTTTCAAACAACAATTAAAATAGCATCATGAAGAAATTCGTTTACAAGAATTAGAAGCAAACGTAGGAGCCAGGCAAGCCCTAAAATGATATCAATTAACAATGAGAAAAAAGTTGAACTTTTTTTTAAGTAAGAAAAAATACGAATTGATTGCTATTCCACTCGAGTGATTATAGATTTGTAAATAGAGTTCAATTTGTACATATCTTTATCCAATTAAAAACCAAGCAATGGGGGAAAAAATAAGAACCAAGCTTGATGTACACCTTACATCATGGGTGACAGCCCCCTCACATAGGGGTGGGACTTGCAATTTTTAAAATCGCGGGCCCCACCTCCATGTGAGGGGGCCGTCAAACTAAATGCAACATTATTCAAAAAAATAAAGAAAGTAGAACCCCCATCAAGATTTTAAATCATAAATGCCCTAGCTATGAATTGTTTTATCATCGTATGTGTTTTTCCTCTTTCTTTTGAAAAAAACTATTTATTTATTCTCCAAAAAATCATTAAGGCCTTGTTTGAACTACATTATTTTTTTCATTCTCATTTTTAACAACACATTCTTGAATAAAATAATATTTTCTGTCACATCAATAACTTTTCCTTCTTTTTCAACCACATATTTCCCCTCACATCAACAGTAAAAATGCATTCTTTTTTCATAAAATGTGCATCAAACGGGGGCTAACTATTTAGTTAATTACCAAATGATAATGGCATTTATGTTCATTATTTTGTTTAGGAAATTTACAAAACACGTCCTTTATTTAAACTTTAAGGTATATTTGCACTTTGCATATTAAATTTTACAATATGGTAAAAAGAAAATAAGTTTTGCTGCTAATACAAATTTTCCATAAAAAATAATTAGATAGACCTAAATATTCATAATTGAAAATAAAAAAATCACACTATTTGTGTTACTTACTTTACATAACCAAAATTTTAACTATTTATTTATTCTCCAAAAATTCATTTACTATTTCATTTTTATACAATTTTTTCTTCTTCTTATTCATTTATCATTCCATAAATTAATATTTAGTCGAATCATCTCACCGTGTTTGTGTATCAGTAACATAATTTTTCATTTTTCTTAAACAAATTATATTTTTTATTAGTTACATTTATAGATTCTTCTCGTATGAAACTTTTCTCTCAGAAATTAATTTAATGTACAAAATAACAACTAATATTAAAACTTGAAATTAATATTTCCTTTTTATTTAATTCAGTGACCTAATTTCACTTGAAATTCTACACTATGGTTAGTTCAATTAAAATAATGACTTGAAAAGGCATTTATTCGAAGACCTTTTAAATGCATAATATTAATGGAATACTTAGGCTCATGTGAAAGAAATACGGCCGTGGATGTGAAGTGTGGATAAGTCAGAAATAGTAGACTACCTAAATTCGGCCGTGGATGTGAAGTGTGGAAAAGTCAGAAATTGTAGACTACCGATAGATGCGCGCCGCATGTCAATTATGTAATGTATTATGTAAATAATTATGTACTTGTAGCATGGTCCAAATAATAATGGCGAAAAGTAATGTTGGTGTGTGCGACAATGACTCAACTAAATTACCAATATTACACACTCATAATTATTGAACAAGTTGTTAGTCTTCAATTAATTATTTTGCATATCAAATAGGAAATTGAAAATTGAATTCATGTGTGATCAATTTTAATCAATAAATTACTAGACACTAGCATTAGACTAACTTTTCTTTTTAATATATAACAAATATACACTATTGTTTACATTTCAATAATAAAACTAAGTCTATGTTTGGTATAAATTAAAATTCAGATTTTAATATAAGTAAAAGTCAACAATTAATTTTAACCATATATCATGACATCCACGAGTTAGCAAAATGCTGTACCTTGAGCTTGCTCTGGTGTAAAACCCAGCATTAATGGAAGTGCCTCCGCCCAATATTCGAGCTCTGGAATTAATGACTCCATCGGTGGAAATGAACCGCTGTGATGCAGAAGATGGCGAAGTGTCAGCCAACGAGATGTGGAAATTCTGCATGAAGGTGACATTAGGGTTTGCAAAAGGCGTTCCGCCTCTTTCCAGTAATAGCACACTGAAGTTTTGCGATAGGGTGGCGGCCAGGGGACATCCGGCAGTACCTCCTCCTACTATAATGTAGTCAAAGCGTTTATCGCCGCCGTTCGTGGCGGAGGACGGCAGCGGAGAGAATGAGCTTGCGGGTTTGATGAATGGATACCGGAATTCCCCAGAATTCTCTTCGCCTGCATTCCAATTACACGTACCTTAAGAGAGAGAGAGAGAGAGAGAGACGCGTTGAAGATAATAATAAAGAAGAGGGTGAAAAGAAAAACCTTTAATGAGGGAAATACGCAGCGTGATGATCCATAGAAGTGAAGAGAAAAGAAACTTGAAAACTGCACCACCAATCAAAGTCATTGGGACAGACAGACAGAGAACGGTTCCTTGAAGTGGCTGTGGTTACCTTCTTCTCTATGTAATATATATACAGACATTGTTCACATGATTGCTTTAACCTCAATTAAGAATTAGATTGATAATTATTAATTTGTGAAAAAGTCTTGCAGCTTTTCAGCTATATATTAAATGTCTGTCAATAGATTAATGGCGTGTTCGGTAGAGATTAAAATTGAAAAACTAGCCGTTATTGTTGACTTTTATTAGACGAGTGAGACCCACTAACGGCTATATTTTCAATTTTAATTGGATTTTAATCACTCTCAGACATGCTATAAGTGGGTGTTTGGTGAGGATTAAAATTAAATTTTTAATAGATTGTGATTAAAATTAAAATTAAATACTGACGTTCACCAATTAATTGATTTGAAACGTCATTGGTGCTTAAATTTAGAGCACAAGTAAATCAAATGTGACCATTTGACAAAACAATTGTAATTTCAATGAGACCAACGTGCACTAAAAATTAAAATTTAGAAGACAGAAATTACAAATTTCTAAAACAGCAGTTGAGGGTGGGGAGGGGGAGGGGGGGGGGGGGGG